TGCGTGAGTGCGTGCGTGCGTGCGTGCATGAAACGCAAATAATAAATAAGTACAAATACTCACCACACCCCCATTTATAATAAATCGACCCCATTTGGCCATGTCCTCTGGAGTGCTAAATATGCATCCGGCAGGGCAGGCTGATCCAACAGCACTGAGGACAGACATTAAAACGAAAGCAAAAAGAAATGAATAGCTTCCAGGGAGCAAAATTAATTTGAAAACAGTGTGAGGACAATTGTAAAAGCATTTTAGAGCACTGTCAGTGGATTAATCTATCGAAAAAGGCTATCCAGTTAATTATTCTTTATAGTAAACATATGGCTAGTGCAACTAAAAACTTGTTTACATCTGATGAAAACGTTAGCAAAAGAGGAGTACTTATTTGAACAAGAGAAATATACAACCGCTCAAAACCAATAGAGTATAAAATAACTTACGAATTTCAGCTAAGAAGATAAGTATATTATTATGTGCAAACTCTTTCACCTTCGCAATTCGTATCAGTGCTTCCCCCCCCCAAATCCATCACTCACTTCACTATCACTACCATCACCACCATCATCATGATCACCAACACCGTCAGCAGCGCCACATCCACAAACATAAAATTTGTGTCACGACGCGGGGGAATTAGGCGCTCGTCAATTTCGGGGCATATGGAGTTACTGGTATCATCTAAAATCCTGTTCATTTGCCTATCTTTCTATGAAAAAAATACCCTTCATCTTGAATAGAAGTTGAGATTTGCAATTGAAGAAAAGGGGGTCGCAGCGTTTCAGAGGTAAAATTAGCGAGAAAATGGCTGCCAAATTTTGGTGACTACAAAGCTTGAGAGTACTTGAAAATTGCAAATTTGCATTTTCTGTGCCTTAAATCAACGTTTTTCAGTCAAATCCACACGAAATGTGTTTTTGAATAGACGTTAAAGGTGTTAAGCCAAAAAACCAACATTCAATTAATTCCCAAACCTGCTGAAAAATGGAAGTTTCTTGACTTTCATTATTTTGACGAGTGCCTGATTTCCCCACGATGCCTCACAAATTCTCTACCACCATCTTCTGCAAGAGCAGAATAATCAGTGGTATAAACAACCCAGCAACATTAACCGCAAAATGATAGAAGCGTAATATTATGGAGACTCACTCAGCTAGTTGGGGCTCGTGATATTCCTGAAAACTTCCATTTGTGTGTTGATAAACAGAGTAAGCTGTCTGAGACCAGTCCTGGGCTGACATTGCTGGAGAAAACCGGGTACTGTCCATTCCTGCAAGGGTTGTGGTTGAGAGATTATGAAACATAAACAACACCATTCTGCCTATGTCCTGGCGTGAACTTTGTTGCAACGCATCTTAATTTTTTTACGATACGGTATTATTTTTATTTATTTATTTATTTA